TGGAGCACTCACACTTCCAGATTTCAAAACTTATTACAAGGCTGCAGTAATCTAAGTCTGTGCTACCGTGAGTCTGGCAATAAGACACATAGACCTAGGGAGTATAACAGCAAGTCCAGAAATAAACTCTTTATGTTATGGTCAAATGATTTTTGACAAAGGCGCCAAGACTACTCAGTGGGGAAAGGAATTCTTTTCAACAAGTGGTGTTGGGAAAACTGGCTATCGTCATGCAAAAGAATAAAGTTAGATGTTTATCTAACATCATATACAAAAATTAACTCAAAATGGATCGAATACATAAACATAAGAAAAAAATCTATAAAACCACCCACACAACGGGAGAAGCCACTAGCAGATCATGTATTTCTCAAGAGATTAAGATCCAGAGTATATATATAAAAATAAATCTTCAACTCAACAACAAAAGCAAACGACCCAATTTTATTTATTTATTTTATTCTACTTTAAGTTCTAGGGTATATGTGCACAAAGTGCAGGTTTGTTACATCAGTAAACATGTACCATCTTGGTTTGCTGCACCCATAAACTCGTCATTTACATTAGATATTTCTCCTAATGCTATCCCCCCCACAGTCCCTCACACCCCAACCAGCCCTGGTGTGTGATACACCCCACCCTGTGTCCATGTGATCTCATTGTTCAACTCCCACTTCTGAGTGAGAACATGCAGTGTTTGGTTTTCTGTCCTTGTGATAGTTTGTTTAAAATGATGACAACCCCATTTTTAAAATAGGCAAAAGACTTGAATAGACATTTCTCCAATAAAGATGTATACAAATGGCCGATAAGCACGTGAAAAGATGCCCAACATCGCTAGTCATTAGGAAAATGTAAATCAAAGCTACCGTGTAATACTTCAGTCTCATTAGGATGGCTAATATCAAAAGAAAAACTGAGGAATGCTGGTGGGAATGTGAAATGGTGCAGCCATTGTGGAAAGCAGTATGGAGGTTCCTCAAAAGTTAAGTATAGTATTAACATATGATCCAGTAATTTCTCTTCTAAGTGTATATCCAAAAGAATTGAAAGCAGGGACTTAAACAGATAATTGTACACCAGTGTTCATATTAGCATTATTTGCAAGAGTCAAATGTCCATCAACAGATGCACAGATAAATAAAATGTAGTGTATACACATAATGGAATAGTACTCAAGCTTAAAAAGCAATGAAATTCTGATGAATGCTACAACATGGGTGAAACTTGAAAAAATTATGCTAAGTGAAATAAGCCAAGCACAATAGGATATATATTGTATTATTTTACTTATATGAGGTACCTAGAATAGTGAAATTCATAGAGACAGAAAGTGGACCAAAAGCTATCAGGGGCTGGAAATACGTAGATAAGGGGAGCTACTGCTTAATGAGTACAGAGTTTTTGTTTGGGATAATGATAAAGTTTAGGAAATGGATAGTTGTGATGGTTGCACATTATGAATGTACTTAATGCCTTTGAATTGTACACTTAAAAATGGTTAGAATGGTAAATTTTATGTTATATATATTTTACGCCAGTATAAAAACATAATGAGATATACTACCAACAGGGAGCAATATAAGGATGCCTATTTTCACTGCTTCTATTCAACATAGTATTGTAAGTTTTAGCCAGAATAATTAGGCAAAAAAAAGTAACAAAAGCTACCCACACTGGAAATAAATAAGTGAAATGATCTATATTCACAGTTGACAAAATTTGCCATTGATTGTAAATGCTTAGACAAAATGCAAACTTTTCTAGAAAAATATTACTTAGTAAATGTAATTACTGACTGAAGAATTAATAGTGGTAATATTAATAGTGGTAATCGTATTATGATTACTGAAGAATCAAAACAAACTTTAAACATACTTCATAAGGAAAATATCTGAACTAGATAGTTTTATGGGGAAAAGTATCATATTTTCAAGATATATATCAAGCCATTTTGTAAAAATGCTTCCAAGATGTAATATTTCTTATCTACAAAAATTCTACCACAGTAGTAGTTTCCTAAAGAGAATTTTTCCTACCTCTTCAGGCTTAGATATTCTGATTCTCTTCATCGAATTTGTTACTCTTAATCTCCTACTCTATTACTGTGTAAAGATGCTGATTTAATTACATGTAGAATGATTTTATACAAAATTGTGAAACACTGTTTACCATATCTCCTTATCCTCTAAATGGAATGCTTAAGGATCAAAGTTTCCATTACGCATTTGCTTACTGTTAGGATAAAGAATCGTGTGTGTTTGTCTCACATTTTATCAAAATGGCACTTTTAAATTAAATTAAATTAAATTAAATTTTATTTTATTTTATTTTGTTTTATTTTATTTTATTTAGTTGAAGTTACTAACGTCTCCAAATTGCAATTTTAAGTCTGGAAGAAAAGACAGTGAAATTTTTATTCAAATTTAGTGCATTGGCAACATGTTTTTGAGACAATACATGTTTTCATAACCCTAGAAAAATACAGCTTTGGGTTTGTTTAAAATCAGTGCTGCCCTATAAGAAACTAAAATCTGGGTCCAAAATTATTGTAGGAACATCTAAATAAAATTAACCTCTGAAAATGTTTATACATCCATCTATTCTTATCAGGACAAATACAGGACAACATAAATAATCTGACCTGAATTCCACATATGCTTTTTCTACTGTTTTGGCCTCTTCCCTCTCCATATTTTATATCTGATCTATCACTCAAATATGACTTTTTTTAAGAGTCATTTCTCAGTTTGAAAATTCTTCCCTATTCTCATATTTCAAGATCCTCAAAGCCCTAAGCCTAAATTATGTTCCCCGCCACTAGTATTTCTTCATCTCTCTCAATTAACTACCACTAACCCTCCCAGACTAACTCATAGTTTAAAAATACAACTTCCTTCTGCTTTCTCCCAGTCAAAAAATCTGAAATCTAAAATCTTTCTGCCTTAACTCATGTATTAAGCCCAAAGTCTTGTGTTTAGTTTTCAAAATCTCGCTGCACGGCCCCACTCTCTCCATTTGACATTATTTCCCACCACTCTCAAGATGAAAGATTTCTTACCACCACATGTAAACATACTGTGCCCATGGCTCTCAACAATAGACTTCAAACCCTAGCAAGAGGGAGGGTGTGAGGGGGAAGAAGGTTACTGCAAAGAATCTGTAAATTTATATATGGGGAATTTTTTTAAGAAGATAATAAAATACAAGCAGGATCCTAACATATGTGCTCTGTCATCGACAGCTGAGCATTTATTATATATCAAGTATTAAACCAAGCATGTTTCATAATAATAATTTAAATAACAATATCTCAAGTCATCTTTATAACAACTCAAGTAAGTATAATTGTCATTTTAAACGTAAAATAATTAAAGCTCTAATAAACGAAATAATCATTTTACGATCATATAGCTTTATAAAGAAGTAGAGAGCTTGGATTCAAACCCAGGAATGTCTAACACAATGTCTGGATTCTTTATTATCTACCCTATAGGTAGAAGGGCCCTTGCCTTTAAAATTTTTATTCTTAAGTGTTTTGAGTAATAAAAAATGTTACAAGGCATTGGATTTAATTTTTCTCAGTTTTATTCTTTCCCACTGCTGTTTTCTGCACTACCAATGTCTCCATTCCTTCAATAAGCATCCACATCTAAGGCTCAAGTTTGGGTAAGCCCTCTACAGCACTCTTCCTCAGGCCAGCTTGGTTTATTTTTCCTTTCACCCTAATAATATGGAGCTAACAAACTTGCAATACATTTTCTAATTGAATTTAAACTAATTGCTTTATCATTCTCCATTTTTATTCACTCAGCAAGAGAAAAGGCATTATAGTGTATATTTACCATGTTCTTGAAAATGGATTATATATGTAAAGCTAAGAATCTTCAGCATATATATGTGTATATACATATACATATATATAATATCCTAGATAATTTCATTATAAATACAAAAATGTAAAAAGTCTTATAGTCACATGTTATATTTCCAGATAATTTCTCAGTAGAGATAACAAAAGAAAAAAAATACCTTACATGTATGTGCATGTGCACTATCATATATTTAATGTGAGTGTCAAGGGAAACTGAAGGAGTATTTGAGTTGTTTGGATCCTATATTGTGGTTTTTGTGAAAACATTGATTGTGACCCTAAAATGGTAAAAGATTAGATGGAATAACTGTGGACATAATAGGAAAATAAACTTCTTGTATAAAGAGGATCACCGTAGGGGCGTCTAGAGTACACGATGCATGCAAAAAAAAATGGCATTTGAAAGATTATTGTCTTTCCTTTTGGGTGTTTATTCATTTAGATGCAGTAAACAAGGTCTTTATAGTTTCAGGACACACACCATTAATATTCCTCTAAATTTGTTTTCTTTGCTACTAAAGCAGAGGTATACAGTTTAAATGACATGCACTAAATAGAGAAATTCCGCTGTGTTATTGTTGTTATTATTTTTGTCCTATTATGACATATGTAAATATAATGTGTTGAGCTGGAATAGGAGATCTCTTGTCCTTGGTGAGCTGGTTTACACATATAGTGGCAGATTATCTGGAAATATAATATGTGACTATATACAATAATAGAAAAGTTAAAGTAAAACAAAGAATGATAATTTATAATTTTGCATCATACATATTATATACAAATGATCTATTTAGTAATAAATAAATAAATACAATTAATGTAATGTAAACACTGCAACAATTAGTTTGAAACCCTCATCTTTTGATTAAAAAGTAATAATAAACATGAGTTTTAATATTTTTTACTAAATATACTGTTACAATTTTTTACTATAGTCCAGAGCACTGAAAATAATCTTGTAAGTAAACATGCTTGTCAATACAGCAGAATATATTTTATGCATTTCAAAGCTGAATGTTTACATACCTTATTTTATTGACTATAAGTTTATAAAGTTTAAATTCAGTATTTAAGGTGGTTTCATCTCCAAACACTGAAAGAATTCCAAAATATACTTGCTCACCAGTTTTAACTTTGAAGTGTCTATAACCTTCACAATAGCAATGGTTTTCTCTGTCTCCTTCATCATTTTCTTTTCCTTAAACTTGCAAGCAATAACCAAGAGAACTCTGCAAAAACTTCTACACTAAAGTGAACTTTGGTTCTTCTTTGGACTTTAAGACTAACCTGGTCTAGACTGTGATTGACAAAAGCTTGCTCACTGATGTTATACAGTCCTTTCAAGTTCCAACCAAGCACAGGGGGTTGTTAATATTTACTCATTCCTCGTCTCTGGAATGATCTTGAACTATAACAGTTTACTTAGATTGCCAAATGCCACCAGCATTTACAGACACTTGATTGAAAAAAAACCTATATATGTTAAAAGAAATGAGTTACTATGCACATCCATGTCTCTGAAAGAAAGGGCTGAAACTAAGACCAATGGATGTAAATAATACACAGATCTAAACTCAGAGGCTAAGCAATCATTCAGCTGGAGTGTGCCAGATGATCAGATCTGTCTCAGATCCCTTCAAATCATATGATTCTAAAGTTCTATGAAATGGCTGCTTCCCTGAGACTGCTGGCACAGCAGAATGGGTAGGATAGTTGCATTGGTTTCATGCAGGGCTGGATTCAAGGCCCTACTTTGCCATTCATTAATTATGTGAACTTGGGTAAGTTACTTACTTCTCTAAGCTTCTTTCCTCATTTGTAAAATTTTAATAGGCAATAATAGTCTCTGTCTCATAGGTTTGTTGTGAAATTAAATGTAGTTTTTCACTAAAAGCATTTTGCATAATTCTTGTCACCTAGTAAGTAACCAATGCATGGCAGTTATTATTATTGTTGTCTTTATTCTTGTTGCTACTGCTTTTAGTCCATTAAAAGTATTCCTGAATAGGATGTATAATGAAAACAATTATTTCAATACTATGCGTGAATTTTAGTCATTTATTTAACATACATTTGGTGAGCACCTGTGATGTGTTAGTCACTATGCTGGGTACTAACAACAACAAAACAGGCTACAGTTTTAGGCTCCAGAGCCACAGCAGTAAATGAGACAGACAAAATCCCTGTCTTCAAGGGGTTTGCATTCTACAGGGGGAAGCACAGAATAAATATGGTAACATGCAATAATAAATAAGATCATTTGTGTTACACTGCTCATAAGTCTGAGGGTAAATAAGATAAGACATTGACTTGAGGAGTCATGGGGCAGGGTCTTCTAGTTAGGGTAATTGTGAAAGGCCCCTTTGACAAGCTGACATTGACTAAATATCTGAATCATAAAGAGGTAACCATGCAAAGATTTGAGATGAAAGCATTCCAAACTAAGAAAAGGAAGTACAATGGTTGTAAGATGATAATATTCCTGTAATGTTTAAGGAGGAGAAAGGATGCCATTGAATCCAGACCCTGAAGTCAAAGGGAAGTGCTGACTATAATAAAGTGTCTGGATTATATTCTGAGTATTTCAGAAAATTAATAAAATATTAAGCAAGGAGAAACAGGATCTGGTTATTTCTTTAGGAAGATTATTCTGGCTGCTTTGTGAAGAACAGCTGTAAGGCAACAAAAGTAGCAGGGAAGCTAGGTCAGAGCTTGTGACTATAGTGAGAGATGATGGAACATGTTTTACAGGAGGACATGATAGGAAGCAGTGAGATTCTGGAAATCTTGGATGTGGATTACAAAGACATACTGATAGATGTGGGTATGGGAGTAAGAGACAGAAAAGCAAAGAATGACCATTTTTGTTTGTTGTTTCACACCAACTAAAAGCAGATTTTGGAGGGAGGACTTCTTTTCGGCCATGTTATGTTGAAGATATCTGTTAGAACCACAAAAGATACCAAGTAAGCAGTAGAATATATAAGTTTGGCATATAGGGGAGTGATCTAGGCTAGAGATGTGTTGATATTACCTATAGGACATGTATTGATATACGAGAAAAGAGGACCAAAGACTGAGCCCTGGGACACTCCAGAATTTAGACATCTACATCTATTAGAGAAAAAAGAACCAATAAAATGAGTGAACAAATCAGAGAATTCACAGAATCCTAGATAGCTCTTCAAGAAGAAAGAAGTGGTCAACCATGTCAAATGCCGCTGAGAAGCCAAGTCAGATGACAATGGAGAATTTGCTACTGGATTAGTTTGCTATTGATTGCTATTGATTGGCTTGCTATTGGATTGCTATTGATTGGTTTTCAGAGCCCTTTTAGAATTGTGAGGACAAAAGCCCTATTGGAGAGGAGAGAATGAGAGGGAAGGAAGTCAAAGCAGGGAGAAAATGGGGGTAGTGAGGTTTTTTTGTGTGTGTAAAGGAGTCATGAAATAGCCTGGTAGCCAGAGAGGAAGTGTGTTTAAAGGGTGCTGTTTGGTTTGGTTTGCTTTTAGTGAGTGTTATTAAAGACTGGTAAGTGCTGATGTTTATAATCCAGTAGATCAGCATATATTTATGGTCTGGAAGGCACTATTTAAAGAAGAAAAGTCCTTTGGAAGGGAATCCAGACATAAATGATAGATACGGCTTTAGATAACGAACTAGGACACTTATTCACATCGGAGCTCGTTATTTAAAAGAGCATGGAAACTTCTCCCCTCTCTCTTGCTCCCTGTCTCACCATATGATGCTCTGGATCCCCTTCCTTTCTGCCATGACTAAAAGCTTCCTGAGGCCCTCACCAGAAGCAGATACCAGGATAATGCTTCGTGTATACGGTCTGCAGAGCCATGAGCCAAATAATCCCCTTTTCTTCATAAAGTATCCAGCCTCAGGTATTCCTTTATAGAAATGGAAAAGGGACTAACACAGATAACCCATGTCATATAGTAGGTGAACATAATAATAATAATTTATAAATATTTTCATTTTTGAAGCTTATTATAATAAACATCTGTTGATTTAGCCTGACTAGAATCCATTCACATTTGCTTGGGTAACAACTGCTGCTTTCTTGGTTCTCATTCTCAGTCTGGGCAATTAGTTGTGGAGGGCTGCTCAAGCCACAACTCTAGGGTAGGCCCAAGACCCAGAGACATTGGCTTAGAAATAGATACGTGACAGAAGCTGCTCTGTTATCCCAGGGTTTTAACTGGAACTAAGAAAAAAAACATTTCATCTTAGGTATCCCATCCTTACTGAATGTTTCCATTAGGATGCATCTGTTTTTGAGAACCAGAAAATCCTGACATAATTGGCTTATAAAATAAAGAAAAGAAAACCTTACATATCCATAGGCAAAATAATTCTCCAGGGGCACATAGCAGCATTTCTTTCCATATCTGTCCATTTTCTCTTTCCCTTTGTTTCTTTCGTTTTTCCCACTTTATCTATCTTTCGGGGAAAAAAAAAGGCTACAGAAGCCCCATACATCATGGAGAAGCAAAAACCCTTCTCTTTCTTGAAATTATAGACTAAAGAAAACTTCCAAGCAGATCTCAGTATCCTGCTCAACTTGCCAGAATTGCAGCACAGGCCCATTCTTAAAACAAAGTCTGGCAAGGGAAATGGGGCCACCAGAATTGGTTTAAATTAATCAGAAACTTCCTCTTTCTTGTGAAGGAATGGATGTCTGAAAAAAAAAAAAAAACTAGGTTAGCAAGAAAAAAGTGTATGCATGGCTGGGAATAGGCTATGACAGTGTCTGTTCAATGGCTGAGAATAAAGCCAGCACAGAAGAAAACAGAGACAAATTTACAAAGGGATGCCCACATACAATATTACTTAGGGATTTTTAGATGGCATGAACCAATAAATTCCTTTCATGCTTAAGCCCCTTATGAGTCAGGTTAACCACCTGCAACCAAAAGTTCACTGGCTAATATACTTACTCAAAGCTTTTTTCTGAATCTAACAAGTCTTTGCTTTTATCTACATAAACTATAAAAATCCTTCAGAGTTTCCTACCCCTATTCTACCAGCTATTCTTGTACATTCTCTTTTTTCTCACTTCTTGCCTTATGTTGTTCTCTTAACTTGCTACTTTTCTGCCTTCATGTCTATCTCTTAAAATCTTAACTATACAGTACTTCATAACTATATTTCAAACATCACCTCTTTCTAAAGGACTTCCAAAAATTCTCACTTTCGCATGGTTTCTCCTTCATTTGAGCTGCAGAGCAAATCTCTAACTAGCATTCAAAATGAACACATGTAGTCTATAAGATATCAATTAAAACAGCTTTCAGAGACCACTATTTTTAATTATTCCTATAATACAGAAATAGATACCAAAGCAAAGGCAGGTTACATGATTTGCATAATATCTGGACTAGAACCATGTTTAACACAAGTTCCACATTCTTTCCCGCCCTAACTCTCAGGCACAACTCATTGTGCTACGCCATTATATTGTCATCTCTTGACATGTAAATTGTGCCTCACTCAACCTGCAGTCTCATATTGTGTGAATATTATGCTTCACATATAATAAGTATTAGGTAAATATTTGGTTAATTGAACTGCTTGGTTTTATATGTGGATCTAAATTATCAATAATCTTTGGTTGATTAACCTCAGATATTTCTTTATGTAAATACACTTAGGCCAGTAGTATCCATCTATTTAAAAGTACATTTTGTGTGTCAAAAGTATATTCCCAGTGAAATTCATCACTGAGTTTTTACTGGGTAAACCATTCTACAAAGATTCTACGAAACAAGTAGATAATTTGACAGAGAATGTTTCAGTATACAATTTCAACGAAGTAAGTACCATGTACAAAGAAGAGAAGATTGCAGGAAATTAATATCATTTCCTCAAACTGAGAAGTTGAACATTGGTTAAGAAAATAGTATCCTCATGCTGTGAAATTAGAAAGGGAGATATTAGCATTAATATCAAATGTATCTGGAGAATTAGTTTTCATGTCACTACGCTACTTGAAATCTGAAGAGAAAAAAGGTAGAGTCATCATCCTACATTTAAAAAAATGAAAACTGCAAAAAGAATCCTGCAACAAAAACCAGGTTTTAAACCTCAGCGGATATTTAGCAAGGAAAGTTAGTATTGGTGACTTGACTAGCACTACGTGTAGGCCCTGCATACTAGAGAAAAGGAGAAAGAGACACTTCTCTCATCAGATAGTCTACTTAAGAATTGATACAGAAAAAAAGGGATGCTTCTACCAGCATTTTTTTCTAGGCCCTAAATTGAAAACATCCATCATCATATAGTCTAGCCTATTGACTTATTGATGAATAGTCCACAACTCAATATAGTCAGAATTCAGTTTTTTAAAATTAAATGTTTAAAGTAACAATTCAATTGCAATCTTTGAGATCCTTTTTTCTCATCTTCTTTAAAAGATTGTAAACCATAAACAAACCAACAAAACCAACAATAATCCTTCACAATGTGTTGAAAGAACTTATATACCCTTTACAGATAACATTTTTATGATTCATAAATGAACAATCAGAAGGTGCACAGCAAGTAAATAGGAGATAAGACACTATCCCTTCATATTGCAGGAATTTGTACTGATTTCAACATAGAAGTATTTCTACATACTTTAACGGAGGGTGAGGCCTGTTCTATCTTTTTCAATTTGACTTTAACCTCTGGCTGTTGGCTTAGAAGTAAATTTATATTTTTCATTGTTGCAATATTTTCTTTCTTGTACAAAGGTATAGAGCCTCTAAATCTGAAAGCTGTATTAGTCATGGTAAAATAGTCAAAATTTAGTCATGAGCTTATAAGGGTGTTTGATTACATGCTGTGCTTAAAAATAGAAAATCTAAAGATTAAATTCCTCACAGAAAATGCTAGCAAATTAGATATATAGTTAGATGCATGTATATAGGACTAGATAGATAGACACAGAGACAGAGAGAGAGATTAGCACAAGCACTATATTCTTCTTCAACCATTAGATAACCTTTTTTTCTGCACCAATAAATATTTTCTAGTATTCATCTTTTATCTTGTCTGTTTAAAAAGTGCAGAAAAAAACACCATTTGCTAATCAAACTTTTTTATTATCAGAGTGTATTCATTTCAGTTTCAACGACTTTCTTGGGTCTGAAAGCACTTACTGTTCTTTGCATTAGCAGAGGAGAGTCTGCTCCTTCCTCTTTAAAACTTGATTCCATACCGATTATATCCTCAATAACGTCCTCCATCTAGCAAAATATAATACATTTAGAATATTGTACATAATGTTAAAAGTTGTGCTTCAGTCTGAAATCAGAGAGAAAAATTCTAGCAATCTTTAAAAGTTTTTTAGACAATTTAAATTGAGGTTATATATACATATATATAAAACCTCAGTATTTTATATATATATATAAACACATTACTTTAGCATTGAAAATGTGGGAACCCTGACAATCTTTGGTCTGTTGCTTTCTCTTGCATTTATGTCCAAAGGCTGACAGGTGACAACTTGGCAAAGCACCCTGGACTAGTCTCTTGGAAATCAGTATCTACATAAATAGAGTGGTTATCATGAAATATCTCAAGGCAGACAGGGTCCCTATAGTTAATATGTACAGAGATTACTATGTACAAACTTTATTTTTCTTTTAAAATGTTCTGATTGCATCTTGCACGTGGATATCTAAATATTCATGGTTAAATATTAGCCAGTACATTCCTGTAGATACAGAATAGATGGAAACATTTCATCCTACCTTCTCTAAAGACCAATAATAATAGATAATAGCAATAGCAATAACAAAAACAACAATAATTCTGAACATTTTAAATAGTAACAATAAAAATCACTTTTATAGTGCATGAGATGTACCAGGCATGCTTCTAAGTGCTTTGCATACATAATTCATTTAATACTGATAATATCCCTATGAAATGAGTACTCTGCTATACAGAAAAGGAAACTGAGAGAAAAAAAAATTTAATAATTTGTCCCAGATTATATAGTGAGTGAGTGGTGGAGGAAGGACTGACATCCTAGAAATGTGGCTCTATAGTCCAAATCTCATTGGCTTTCTATTTCCTTTTTCAATTCTTCTCTAAAATAGAAACTTTCCTTCCTTTCTGTACTTTAGCTGGAGGAGATTTTAAAAGTTTATACATTTTAAAAAATGGTTGCTTCTCTCTCTATCTCTCTCTCTCTGCTCTAGCTCTAGCTCGCTTTGCTTCCATTCATATTCCATTTCGTGAAATTTTTAAGTGTGATATAAACTCAAAGATATTGTGAAAGTTTTATTTATATAACTATAGTACTGTGAATTTCCCATGATATATGCAGATACGATCAGGAGTACACTCTGATAGATATGGAAAAATACCTTATAATTCTATTGATGTTATCTTCAAAGCAAGATATCTGGGAATGTAAGAGAATTAAGTGTTCAGAGAATTCTACTAGGATAGTCCAAAAAATATGGAACACTATTCACATCTTAACAAATGTTAATTAAGCAATGTTTACTGTGAGATCTTGTGGTTAGAACTGGAGCTACCATAACCAGTAGTAGGAAATTTTTACTCTTATGCAGTTCAAATTCTTAGGGAAACAGACCCGTAAACAGCTTAATAACAAATAGCAGGCTGAAGAAATTACAGCAGGAATAGGATACAGCTTGATGAAAATGGTTGTTATTTTATAAAGAGAATCAGAGAAGATTTACTGACATTTGAACAGAGATAAGATTAACATGGGGAAGGGTGATCCTTGGGAAAGGAATAAGAAAGACCTAAGGTAGGAACAAGTTTAACATGTTTGAGAAAGAATGAGCACTAATGGGAATAGAGTGTGCAAGGGCAAGAGCAGTTAGAGATGAAGTGGAGTATGCAAGAAACTAACATCACAGAATCCTCAAGGCCGACGGTAACCAATAGAAATTTCTGCAATGATGGAAATGTCCTATATCTGAAATGACAAATGTATTAATAGTAATAACTAACCACATATCCGCATATGACTACTAAACACATGAAATGTGGCTAGCATAACTGAGAAACTGAAATTTTAATTTCATTTAATTTTATAAAATGTTACTGAATTTGGCCAGGTGCAGTGGCTTACACCTGCAATCCCAGCACTTTGGGATGCTGAGGCATGCGGATCACTTGAGGTCAGGAGTTCTAGACCAGCCCGGCCAACATGATGAAACTCTGTCTCTGCTGAAAAATACAAAAATTAGACAGGCAGATGGCGGTGCGTGCCTGTAGTCCCAGCTACTTGGGGGGCTGAGGTAGGAGAATCATTTGAACCCGGGAGACATAGTCTATAGTGAACAGAGATTGCACCACTGCACTCCAGCCTGGGCGACAGATTGAGACCCCATCTCCAAAAAAATAAAAATAAATACAAATAAATAAGTTATTGAATTTGAACTAACTTTAAATTCAAATAGCCACATGGGGTTCATGGGTACTATAGGGGAGGGTGTAGCTCTACTCATGGTCAGATGTTAAATCCTTGTGCACAAAGAGATCTTTAAAGAAGCTAGGTTAATACATGTGCATATTTTGTTTCTTTTGTTCAGTCCAGTCTCTGAAATTCTTTAAGTAGATTCTTGATTGTTATTAAAACTGAATTTTTATTTTGTGATATTTTACTCATATTCTGTCACTAAATGGGAAAAAACCTTGTACTGAAGAGATGTGAAGAAGACTTGAGGAAAGAAGATTGCTAAACATAATTTATGGGGAGTGCTTTTCATTTGGATACTAGGAGTGGATTCAGTAAAAATTACATATAAGTCATTCATCTATTTTCTCTCTGGAAGTTTACGTCATAAATGACGCAGTCTGTTTAATTTTTCATTTTGACTATAAAGCATGCTTAGGTTTCCCTTATTCCAGAAAGAAACTTTTCTTTGTTACATGTGAAACATCCTCCTTTGGAGGTTGTGCCTTTGCCTTTAACATTACCATCCCTCATTTCTGTCATCTACCTACATGACTACTTTTTCCCCTAATTTCGGTTTTACCATTATCTTCATGAATGTTAAAATCTAAAATCCAGTCTAAAACCTTCACAACTTCTAAGTATCTCCATAATTAAAAACCTAGGAATCCATTTGTTATGTTAAAGCGACAACAAACACACCATTTTGTATCAGATGAAATGGAATTAATAGATCAGACGAAATGAGAATTACAAACCCGCAAGTAGGCATCCTCAAAATAATAAATTAAGATCATAAGAATACAAAGACAGGGCAAATTGCTTGACAAAAGTAAAAATGGAGATAATAGGCATAAAAAGTATAAGATTCAAGGACAAAGGAAAACATTTATATGCTTTCAGATATGTAAAAATAAAGATTAACAGAAGAACAAGAATAAAACTTGTTAACAATACTGAGTGCAAAAGAAAATGAGATAATACTAGAAATATTAAAGGCAAAGAACTTTGAACCTACACATTTATAGCCAACAAAGTATCTTTTAAGTATGTGGATGTAATTAAATTCTTTTTGGATATAAAAACTCAGAAAGTTTAAGGCAAAAATACCTTTTAAAAACAGTTTAAGGAGTACTCCAGTCAGAAGATAAATAAAACCATGAAATTGATACAAAATAAAAGAATGAGTAAAGGACAGTAAAATTTTTGTGATCTAAGTAACTCTATATATATGTAGAAAGAGACATACATGCGCAATAATTATATATGTATTTCTATAGATAAGTATGTATATATACATGAATTCTGTACATACATAAATTCTATAAATATCCATACAGAATGGTAGGTGACAACAAGGAAATGAGACCATACTAAGGTAGATTTTTGCTTAAGAGTATGGCATATACAATGTTAAACAAGGATATAGATGTAGAAAAAATCATAATGATGACTCAAAATATTAGGAGTAACAAACAGAAAAGAAGATAAAAATTGACCAATGGAAGATAGAAAAAAGACGGCAAAGGAACATGAAGTATAGTAACTTAAAACATAAGAAATTATAACTGTTAAATCCTAATAGTGAAGTAAGTACAAGAATGTAAATGAGTTAACATACTGATTGAGAAACTCTCTCTTGAATTGGATTTTTAAAAGGTTTTGTAATATTTTGTCTATAAGAGACACACTTAAAACAACAGAAAAAGCTGAAACAAGGTTAAAAAAAGTATCGTAAATATAACCAAAAGGAAATCCACAGTAGTGGTATTCATATTAAGCAATATAAAATTCAAGGTTAAAATCTGAAGGAAAAATAATACCAAGTGATCATGAACACAAATGCACCTAAAAATATACACAACTGTCAGAATTCTATGGAAAAGTAAATCAACACTTGTAGTTGAATATTTTAACTCAGCACTCTCTAAATCTGATAGTTCTGCACATAAACCTAAATTTAGACTTCTCTTTACCTATACTTAAAGCCATGCCTTGGGTCTTGTCATCATCTAAACTGCTTCATTTCTGAAATCTTAAAATCCATGACCTTACTCATCAAATGCAGCCTTTGTTTTCCAATCTAAACACTGGCAGATGACCTGAACAATTTTTATTTTATGACCTTTTATGCTTTTGCCCTGTTACCTTTCTGTCCAGCTGTCCCAAACATCCCAGGTGGTCAATCTCTCCACCTTCCATTAACTCTGAATTCAAGTAGAATGGCTTCTGCTCACCGTCCTACTGACATTTCTTTTGTTATTTTTATTGACTCATAGCCAAGTTCAATAGATATTGATCAGTTCTTATTTTACTAGACTCATCTGCTATACTTGGGTGTGTGAATCACTCCCTCCTTCTTTAATTCCCTCTTTGGCATCAATGACATTGCACTCTCCCAGTTATCTTTTTACTTTACTTTTATGGACCTTCTCTTCTGACCATCCCTTAAATGTTGGTCATCTTCAGAAGAGTATCTTTAGCTATCATCTGTCCTCACTGTATTCAGGTTCTCAAGGGGATTTATTTCTCATTCAAGATTTCAAAGACCACCCATATGCTAACAACTCTCAAATCTCTTCCTCCAGTCCAGCAGATTTGGATATCTAGCTGTCACCAACATCTCCACGTGATAATCTCACTGATACCACAGTTCAACATGTTTTAAGGGAGAGTCTTACTTTCTCGCACTGCAAAATAGAAATAGACTCCCAGCTGCTCCCTATCCCTGACTCCAGACTTCTCCCTCTATATAGTTGACAAAGTGATCTAGAGTCCAATCTGATT